ACACACACACACACACACTCACACTCAATACTACTCACTTTTACTTCTCAAGAATCCACAGCTTCTGCACACCATCACCGCTACAAATAATAGTAGCTTAGTTTAACGTTATTTGCACTGTTTGCCTAAAGTCTTATCTATGTAACTATCCACTTCTTAACTTAACTATCCACTTCAGATTCCCTTTGTAAGTCATTTTTATTTCACATGCTCCTCCTTGTCTACCGTTTGTTTTTGTTGGTGATAAATGTCAACCGATCCTGATGGATTGAGAGGTTGTGTATTGGTCATGGCCCTGGCCTTGGGAAACCATACTCCTTACATTATGACTCGATAATTCAGTTCATTTTTGCATTATTGTGTTCATTTAGAAGGTTATATTTTTGATATCACCACAGTTTTTCAGTCATTTGCTGTGTGCTGCAGCTAAGGGCTTTTAGTGTCATGTAATAAACCACATCTTCCTTTGACAGGCAGTTGACCATATTGTGGCAAGCTGTTGTTGCGAACATATGACATGGCAGAAATAATGTTGCATGCTTTTCTTCCCCCTCACAACAGCCTCTTGTGTCAGCTCTGCCTCCGCTCTCTGATGTTGCATGTTACAAACATGGCCTGATTATACTCCTTTTACTTTTTCATCCCCCTGAGAATGGAGTCATTGTTTAAAGTTTTACAACTGCGGGCAACTACACTCTGTGGCCTCATGAGCCTGAGCTTGTGACTTAAAATCACCATTAAATAGGAACATTTCCCTGGAAGTCTCTTACGTCATGGAAAACGGCGAATGTTTAACACTGACCTTATGCTAGACAAATAAATAAATTAACTCTAAACGATGCAGTACCAGTGCAAATCAATCAACTTATCTCTTCTAAACCTTGAACATCCTGGTTCAATTTGAAATACATGCTGTCACCCCACGCTTTTTTCTTTATGTCCAAATTAAGATTTTTACTACTAGTAGCAACTCCCTTCTCATAATCCTCTGCATGACATAACTTACATTACGTTCATGCTTTTGTAAAGTCTGTGTTTCTTAGTCTCCTTAAATGTTTACATGTTACTGGCTTCTTGTATTCACTTGTGAGGTTGATTTAAATGTTTTCAAATTAAAAATTAAAAATTGCATTTATTTTTTGAAAATCACTGTGATAATGACTGTAATATGCAAACTGGTGGTTTGCTGCAATTAGTTTGTATTTGCTGAAAGCTGTATCTATCTGGGTGTGTAAGTGTGTTCGATTGAGGCAACCTGTGTAGTTGTGCACCGACAGAGAGAGTGAGAGAGCAAGCTTCATTAATAAAAGGAGTTCCCAGAAGCTGCAAGGGAGCCTGCTGGGCTGCTCTCCTGTAAATCATGAGGGGACTTCCATGCTGCTCTGATGCTGAGCACAGGATTGAGGGTAACTCATTTTTATGAGCTGCCTCCAAGATGGGAGCATAAGAGCTGAAGCAGAGGGAAGCCTGTGTTTCTTGAAGCTGTTTCACCAATGCTGCCCAGCAGTGGGTGTTTCTGTGTTAGCATGTGTTGCGTAACAGTCAGCTTGATGTTTAGAACCTCTCCATGTCCATGTGCAATTCTCTTGTGTCTCTTAATGTATCCTGGTGTCCTTGATTGTTCTCCTAGGAGTCAAGGTGGAGCCCAGCGGGCTGCGGGAGTTTGCAGCAGTGGTAGACGGGCCCGGGCGTGGCGTTCTTCTTTTCCCCGAGATCTGTACAATGGAGCTGCAGCTTCTCGCCACTGGCTCCCCTGACTTGGAGGTTCTGAGTCATGTGTTTCACAGTTTGCTGGATGCAGTACACGCCGACCACCGCAATGCTGCCTTACTCTATGATCAGGTCGGACTGACCACTTCTTCCTCTTTATGTCGTTTATTTTTGTCTTCAACCATGCCATGAGTGATACTACTAACTTCTTGTTCTGTTCGCACAGGGAGGAGTCAAAACCATTCTCTCTGGCTTTCACAACATCCTCAGCCATACAGATCCCTCCTTCACAGGTTTGTTATTTCTTATTTTTGGCTTATCTGTTCCTATAGGATATTGTTCATTTGTGACATCTTACGAAAAACAACTGAGGACACTGCTGTGTTCCTTGGTGGGGTTTTCTTTTTGCATTGTAGGATATGGTCAATTGCAATGTTGCATTGTATTGTTTGTAAGAAGCAAAACTGATATGAACAATTATTGGAATAATTTGTTCAAAAACCTCAATATCTCAGATTTTGATATACTGTATATACTTGTATTGTCTGTTTCCTTTTATTTATTTTTTAACTATTTTTGACTGATAACAGGCAGTGGTGACGTTTTGTGTGTGTGTCTGTGGTGTTCTCCTGCATGCCCAAATGAGTGAAACTGTTTACGTAATATGCTCTTCATTGGTCCACATTCAGATTGCCAGACTGTGCTAGTGGAGCTGCTGGTTGCCATGGTGAGCCAGCGAATCACAGCGGAGGAACTGGCCCTATTGATTCGCCTCTTCCTGGAGAAGACCCCACCTACTGTAAATAGCAAACCCTATCAGTCACTCAACAATGCACTTTTAGCTTGCATTCAGGGTGTTGACACCGATAGCTTATGTTCACAGCGCCTGCACACTCTCTCATCAAGAACAAGAACTCATTTGTTAGACATCCTCTCTGACTTGCTCACTTCTCAACTCTTTAGAACATGCAATGCTCCACTGGGTCGACTTCTTTCTATATATAACTAAGACTAGTGTGTGAGGAACAGAAGTGACGCCTCGACTTATTACCCACAGTGTTTAATTGGAATGTGGCAGCAGACATCGTCAATAACCTGTCTCTAAGAAATTTGTTTCCAGAAGGGATAAGAGAAGTTTATTTTTAACCATGTGAATGTAATGACATGTGACCTGTGTGTTTTCCGTCTATGAAAATGAGACACCTCAGGGGCTGCAGTGGCCGTACAAGATTCTGCACTTTTTGTTTTGCTATCCAGGTTTTTCTGGTTTAGACACTGTGTATTCTGCTGTATTCTGTTTTATTTATGGCTAATTTAGTTCTACTTTTTTAAGGCTTTGTTATTTGTTACACAGGGAAAGCATTATACTGCACAGTAATGTGTGGAAATGAAATGAAAAAAAAGAGTCAACTCAGATCTCTCAAGTTTTTCCTTTTTCATATCTAAAACTGATCAAATGCTCCTCTCATTGATCATTTACTTTCTTTTATTGCCAGGAGATTTTACTGAAGGGTATCCTGCAAGTTGTTGAAGCCAATGTGAATATGGAACCACTCCACTTTCTGACCTTTCCAATAATCCTTGGGGCTTCGACGCCAGGCGGGGTGCCCCCCAGCTCCAGACAAAACGGTGCTGCTGTTGGAAAAAGTGTTGGTTTGCTCTGGAAGGGGAAACTCTCTCCTGGGCGCAGAGAAGGGGATGCCGAACACCGACCCAGCCATGTCCGTTCCTCTCCCTGGCACATCGCTCCTCTCCACTTGCCCTTAGTAGGGCAGAACTGCTGGCCTCATATGGCCAGTGGTTTCAGCGCCTCCATGTGGCTGAGGGTAGCAGAGCAGGAGGAGAAGGACAGGGACAAAGACAAGGGTGAGAAACAGATACTTCACCAAGAAGCTTGTTTGCCTGATGACCATAAAATTGAACTAGTTTTGAGATTCTTCTCACATTGTTTTCCAGAAGAGAGTAACCCTCCTGCAGCTGAGTCGCTCCACGGCTGCTCTCAGGCTGGGACACGATTAGTAGAAGAAGGCCTCATTCATATTCTGTCCATGGGCTCTAAGGCACTGATGCTTCAAGTGTGGGCTGACTTCTCCACAGGTTCTCTAACATTCAGGTGAGCTGCAATGAAGACCACAACCTCAAATATGAGAGAGAAGAATGGGTTACTAGCTTTTAAGTATTCACACTTCATTGACCTTTAAGTATCATAATCTGCTATTCCTTCAGAATTTGTATAGACCCAAATGATGAGATAAAAGCTGGGCTACTGGCGCAGGCAGACTCTGCTGAGGGGCTGCTCAGGCCGGGCCAGTGGCAGCACCTCGGCCTCACGTACACCCAGCAGCCCGAGGGCAAGAAGAACATCCATGGCCGAGTGGTTGTTTGGGTGTGTGGCATCAGGTGAGGAACATGTTTAATATCAACAGTAAGAGGCTATCAGTTTGTTTTCAAGCAAATTGGTGATTAATAACTTAACTTAAATGTGCTCTCCTCTCTAGGAATTGTGAGGTTTCTTTGGACTACACACTACCTAGAAAGTCGAGTTTATCATCTGACAGCAACAAAACCTTCTGCATGTTGGGCCACTGTGCCACATCCTGTGAGGAGCTGTTGAGGCAGGGTGGACGCTGGAGCATGGGCACTGTGCTTCTCTTCAACGGTAGGACTCCTGTTAACTCCTATCTTATCTTCTTACGCTCCATGCACGTTTTAATCAATTTCCGTTCTTCTGTGCTCACTAGTGGTACGTTGACCAAAAGTGTATCCAATCTGGTGGCTGTAAAAGGCTGTAGCTGGTGTGATGTTTGGCATGCTGCAAATTCCATAAATTCTCTTGGGAGGCTTACTGAATACTTCTCTTGTTGCCTCTAATTGGCTGTGAATGGCTTGTGTCTCAGGCGATCCCAACCTGTGAACCAAACTGATGCCTTTACACTAGCTTTAGCGTCTCCGCTGTAGTTGGAATTCATCGCAGGTTTCTGATCCATGAAAGAAGAAATAAGACATTAATGTGCAGCATAGTGCCTCAAGGGTCTCACTGTGCATTGCATCATATGTTATAAAGAAGTTGTTTTCAGCCATATTTGTTTATTTGTCAGCACGACTAAAATATTGCAATAACAGTTTGCTCTGAACATGGTGGATGGATGAAGCAGAGACGAACGATTACATTTTGGTTCACTTTTCTGGCTACCTGATACAAGATGTATTGCAGATATTCTTTAAAGATTTATCTAACATAACTGTAGACCTGTTATATATTTTGTTGTGTGCTTACATTATCGAAAATATTTCCAAGGATGTTCAAACCAAGAGAAATTCCAAATTAATTTAGGGTGACGGAACATTTCATTTTGGTCACCTTCACATCATTCACACATTTTTCGGTAATTGTGGTGAAGTGGTGAAGATGTCAACTCCCATGATTCCACGCTGATTCCATCATAATCAAATTAGGTGTTTGGTTATTTGTTGTTTTGATTGAGAGATCTCTAACAGCCAATGTTACACATTTAAGGTTTAACAGTGAGCTCCAGATGTCTGGATAAAAAAAATCTATAAAATTATATTTTCAGGTTTTTGTAATGTTCCTGTCTGTGTATTTCAGGGTCTAGAATAGGATCTGAGGAAGCCTTCTACCTGTACACCCGTGGGCCTGACCTTACCTCGATCATGCCCTGCAAATACGGCAAGCCCAGTGGGTCATTCTCCAAGTTTGTCACTCAGGAAGGGCTGAAGTGTGACCATGTGCGAGAGATCCTTATGAAGAACAAGGATGTGGACACAACATCTTTGGTGGTATGTCAGAACACAAAAGTCACATATGAAAGAGACAAAGAAAAGTTTTATTGTGTGCATTGTTTCATCTTTTAGCCAATTTCTGATAAAATGCAGATTGACGCTGCTGTTAAAACCTGTTATTGTACTTTGTGATTCAAGTGCTATGTAAGCATAGCAAATCCTCCCTATATCTCATTTATAGTGTCATTTCACAGTGTATGAGTAATGTTCAGTTCCAATTAGTTGTCATCAATGATACTCCACAGTAGGAAGTAATTCTTCCCCAGTGGAAAAAGCTATTACAGTTTAGCAGCAGCTATTTCAGTCAAACTGAAAATAGTTTTACTCCCATTAAATGCTAATAGCTTTGCTGATAATTGCTCTGCTGATAAAGAAAAGAAGAAGGTAAGACAAGAATAATGAATGATTTCCTCTTTACATTTTTATAACATCTCTCTGTTAACCTGTGCTCGAGGCTATTTGGGTGACTTATTTAAACAGAAGGATCCGTTAGATATGACTTAAGATGATGTAATCATGTGAATTGTGTTTGTCCACAGGAGAGCTTGGCAGTGGTGTATGCCCCTGGCAGCCCCAGAGTCTACACTATCTACGAGCCTGTAATCAGACTGAAGGGTCAGGCCAAGACAGTGGTCACCCAGCGCCCCTTCAGCTCCAAAGAGGTGCAGAGTGTTTCCCTGGAGCCCAACTCTCTCAGGGCTCTGCTCCCCATCGAAACCAAAGGCCTGCAGAGCGTCCTACATTGGATTGGAGGAACAGGAAATTTCGTCTTCCTCTTTGCACAGGTGGGATGAGCTGTATCTTTTATAGAGCTCTAGAATTAGACGTTGGGATTTCCAGTTGTCATGATATTAATGTATGTAAATACCAGGTCTTAACAGGGTTTATGATGAAAATATGACATAAAATATTATGTCAATTTCTATCTGGTTGTTGCATTTGTTAAAGAGATTTTAGTTTAATGTCACTTTTAAAGACAAAGGTTCATAATAGTCTCTTTGGTGCTTTTGTGAGAACAGTATAAGTGTAGCAGGAACAGTGGAAATGAATGTAAGAAGCAACACATACAGTAAATGCATCAGCAGACTTACATTGGTAACTTTTTATATGTATAACTTAGTTTGATTTCGTTCATTTTCTTTCGGCCTCTCATCTTGGGTTGTGTGGCATCCAGACTGTGGAGCTGTGTGACTGTGAGAAGACCCAGGCTCTGGCCCTGCAGGTGCTGCTGTCTCTGTCCAAGTTCAACCAACACCGTATCCACGAAATGGACTGTTACCATGGTTACTCTATGATCCACCAGGTCCTCATAAAGTCCAAATGCATCGTGGGATATCATATGCTGAAAGTGAGTCACACCTTGAACTCTTTGCTGTCTTCTGTTCCCACAACCTCTGCTGATGTGTGCGGTAAAACATATTCACCAGCGCTTGTTTTTCGGTGTGAATCGGATCTGGCCCCACACTCCGGTGTCTGTGACCCCGCTGTTACTTGACCCTCTGGCTGTGTCTGTAATTGAGCTGTGTGATAGCTGTGTGCTGAAATGGATTCTGTCTCAGTTGATCAAACACTGAGCTTCTGCAGAGTCACACAGCACCTCCTGATTGCCTGGGTCACTTCAGGCTTCCAAACACATTCAGTGTTGAACAGAACTGGCTAATGAGTGTATCAGACACTTTACTTTTCTATTTATACTACTGAAAACTCAGGAAAATGAACTGTAACCGAATTCCGTCATCAGTCAATAAATAATGTAACTAACTGTGTGTAAGTCTGCAGATTTCTGTCATACCTGAGAATACCAGCGACCCAAAGGACTGCAAGATTTATGATCACTGCAGTGAAGCTGGTCACAAATGATGGATTTTGATCGATACAAACCGGGACACTCTGGGAGTAACTGGTATTGGTTTTTGACAGAGTGATAAGCCCAAAAAAATCACATTGAGGGTAGTTTCTGCAGAGATAGTGATTATCAAAGTGTTTAATTTACCTGATTAGAAGGAACAGAACACTGCATGTAGACTGTAGAAGTGGCTGTATTTCTAATGTGGCTGCCACATTATGTCTCTGTAGACTCTGCTAGATGGGTGTTGCAGTGGACCCATTCTGATCCTGGGGGATGATGGGCAGTTTCGTTTGGACACCGACTCCATCGCTGTGGTGCAGGACATCAGGCTTCTCTCAGACGTCCTGTTGGACTGGAAGATCTGGGCCAAGGCCGAGGTAGACACACACATCACTCCAGATTAGGGATTATCATAAAGTTTTTATCATAATGAAGACAAATAGAATTAAATGGCATGGTCATAAATCCAAATACAAACTGGTACTCTGTAACATCAATACATTTCAAATGTTGCTTGGTCAAGATCTGGTCATTTGTTGTTTTCTCATGAACATGCAGTTTCTGCCAGTTTTATCTAACCCCACAATATATAATAATTATGGATTTCAGACAAATCTTGTTTCACCCAACGTCTGTAAACTACTAATGGGACACAGAAAGCTCAAAACATGATCATCAAATGATGAGATAGTAATAAATTCATACACCACAGGAGCTACTCTCAGTCGCAGGCTCATCTATTTTAGATTTAACTGTGTTTCTTCTTCTTAAAAAAAAAACAACTAGAATTTAAAACAGCAAATCGGTTTAAACTAGCAAACACAAAGGGGAGGAACCACAAGTGGACTGCTATCAATTCATTAAAGCTTCGTAAACAGTAATTAGTTATTATTAGTTAATAATTTGTCACACAATGATAAAATATTTTAAAAATCAAAGAAGCAAAAATAATGAGACCTTTGACATTTCATTCTGTGCAGCACAGTTCTACTGTGACGAGGAGCGATGGTACGCTCAACTCCACCATTAGATGTTGAACCAGGTTTTTCTTGTTATTCACTGTTGTTTCTGTCAGTGCGGAGTGTGGGAAACGCTGCTCGCTGCCTTAGAAATCCTCATCAGGGTACACCACCCTCATCAGGTTTTCAACATCCGCCAGTTTCTGAAGGCTGAAGTTGTGCATCGCTTCCTGCTCACCTGCCAGGTGCTACAGGTAGGTCACCATCACAAATCCGCTGTGCCCTCTATCTTCAAGAGCTATTAATAACAATATTGTGTTTGTCTTAAGGAGCACCGGGACGAGCATCTGACTGCCATCCCACAGGAAGTCTGTTTGTCATTCGTCAAAATCATCCAGGAAGTGCTTGGGTCACCTCCAGATATGGACCTGCTCAAACTGATCTACAACTTCCTGCTGGCTGTTCACCCCCCTACCAACACCTACGTCTGCCACACTCCATCCAGCTTCTACTTCTCACTGCACATGGGTGAGGAATCGGTGCAGCTGAAAGCCGCATCTCTGCATTAAAGTTCCATTAATTTAATGCACTGAGCTCTTTTGATGTCTCTGTTTGTCAGACGGGAAGCTGTACCAGGAGAAGGTGCAGTCCATTATGTACCTGAGACACTCCAACAGCGGAGGGAAGTCTGCCAGCAGCTCTGTGGTGTCACTCTCCCCGACTGTCTTCACTGACGCTCACGGCGAAGGTGCGGTTCCCTCAGCTGTGTAACCCTGAACGTAGAGCACACGCTCTGTTGCTCAGAATGAAATTAGAAATGGAGAGATCAGCAATGCTTTTATGAGTGCATGTGCCTCTAACAAGGGAAATTTGTTTAATATGTTTAGTGCTGTATCAGCTCATCTCTATGATGAATTACAGTCATCAGAGTTTTAGTTTAAGTACATAATGTAAACACCATTAGTTCTGGGAAAAAAGCTGATGCATGAGCATTACATCGTTATGTGCGTTTGTGAAACTCCCTCCCATCATCCTCCACTTTTACTGAGATGTAATCTAACTGGTGCTCATAACAATTCTTCTTACAGAACCCCTCTTGGTTATACATCCTATATATCTTTCTAACTGTGCCCTTTTTCTTCTTTTCCCTAAGGTTTTATTGTTCTACTCAGTTTTACACTCATACGCCCCTTTTGTCATCATAATCTTGCTTTTTAAATTGAATTATTTTTATTTCTTGCAAAGCACTTTACAACTTTGGGAAATGGCTATATAAATGAAATAGATTTGCTGCCAAACAATACAATTATGAGATTAAAAATATAAAAGAACCGAAATTTCTTGCACTAACCTTGTTCACATGAGATTTTTTTTTTCCTGTTTCTCTGCTGTTAAATGTAAAATATTGACAATGAACAGCCATACCTTTGCTCTGCCACAACGTGTTATTCATCAGGTTTACAATTTGCACTGTAATTTTTATACCATCAGTTATAAAGTCATTTTGTTGTGTTTTCCAGGCCATCACCATGCTCCTTCCCCTGAACATGAAGGTGATGATCATTCGTTACGCCCACCCAGTCTGGCGCCTTCTCCATATACCTCCCCGCTGCTGACACCTCGACTCGGACACACTAGCTCAAATGAGGCCAGCGAAGGTGACAGGGTCTCTTTGGCCACTCAGCAGGCTCGGGGCAGCACAGAGACGCTCAAGAAGGCTGGAGGCTGTGACGAGCAGCTACTGAGCAGCTGTGAATCAGCCAAGACAATCTGCGACTCTAAGGAAATAGGTGAGGGGGGAGCCCTGCGCACGCCCTCCATCAGCGTGGAGGAGGAGCGGGATGAGGCGGCAGAGGTGGACAGCCTGGCAGAGGGAAGCGTGGGGGTGGCGGAGTCTGAAGACAGGTTTGACTGGGCCAGTGACGAGGCACCGCGGCGTCCTGACAGTCTGAAAGGGATTCAGTCCTTCCAGAGGAGCCACAGCAACCTGGCTAGTCTGGGCCTGGCCTTCCCAGCTCCTAACGGTTCGTTGGCTATTGGCCGATGGCCCAGTGCGGCCGACCGAGGCTCCATGCCTGAAGACTGGGAGAGCTACACTTACTCCCCTGGCTATGAGAGGGCCCAGAGCAAGACAGAGTCCAATGACAGGTACGCTGCCATTGTAGTCTGTAAAATGGTGTAAAAACATGTCCATGTGTTAAATGAACCTTTAATTTAATCACAAATTATGACATTGTATTTTTACTATCTTAGTCAAGCTGATTGTGAGTGTTTTTTGTTGTTCAGTACTTTAACCACAAGTTTTCTTCACTAAAGAAAGCCTGATAAGGGGCTTACAGTCTTCAGCCTACTGAAATTTGAAAATGATTTGAAGTGACACCCTCAGTTTACTTAACAAGCTCACTGAAGGCTTAGGCAGATTGGAAATTAAAAAAGAGATTTGTTCATTGTAATCCTGTTTTCTCATCTTTGTGTTGGACTGAGCTGTCTGAAAGTAGGAAATCTGCCTTCATTTGTTGTTAAATTTCAAGCAGTCAAGGAAAAAAATAACAGTTCTAATCTAAATTCATGGTTGGTGTGTGTTTTGTTGTGAGAGATGCTCATATCAGTTAACATTGTACAAAATGTAGCCTCCTCTGTAACCTAAAAATAGAATATATGTACAACATTTAACACTACATTTCGAGAGCACAGCAATTCAACAGAAATCTAAACTGTGTGTCTTTTAGGTCCAGTACTGAGGACTGCCTGGTGCTGATCTGCTGTGGACTCTATGATCTTCTGAGGGGCGTCTTGCTGCTGTTGCCTGATCTCATGCTCGAGGAGGTGATGGACAAACTCATCCAGCCCGAGGCTCTCATCGTTCTGGTCAACCACTCGTCACCGCTCATACAGCAAGGAGTCATGAAGGTTGGTACAGGATCCTCTCTGATGAATCTCATACACAAGTAAAGCAGGCTCATCGCATTTACCAACAGGAGTCCCGTTTACTACACTTACAATGCTATTATGTTTTTACCCACTTTGGTGACAAAAAGTGACATGTACACATTTGTTTTACATTTAAAGCTTTTAGCTAACACATTTCTCTCAAAGGTCTCACAGCAAGTGAAACTGATGTGCAAGCTCAAAGATCAGAGGCGAACTTTGAACGGAGCCTTGTTAGCTGTTTCCACCGGTTTCCTGTCTTTATGCAAAGCTAATCAGCTCAAAACTGTAGCTTCATACGTATCAAACAGACATGCTAGTGGTAGCAATCTTCGGATTTAACTCTCGGTATTAAAATGAATAGGTTATCAAAAATGAGTTAATTTTTTTAATTGAAGATTTAATACTGCACTTTTAATAATCACATCAGAGATGAGTGTGAACACTATTTAATGCAGGAGAGGTGGATAAAAATCAAAGTGACGTCTCCTTTGCTGAGTGTTAAAACTGTTCTCTTCTAATCTAATTCTCACCACTCTCCTCCAGCTGTTGGATGCCTACTTCAGCCGAGCTCTCAAGGAGCAGAAGGAGAAATTTCTGAAGAACCATGGTTTCTCACTGCTGGCCAACCAGCTGTACATCCACCAGGGCAGCCAGGGGCTTCTTGAATGCTTCCTGGAGATGCTATTTGGACGGCCTGTGGGCCTGGAGGAAGAGTCAGTCAAGGAGAATCACACACTTGTCATAATACCATAACATCCTCTTTTGTTCACGTTCTAACATATTTTTCTTATCTGTGTTGCTTCCAGTTTGGACCTGGAGGAAATGGAAAATATCTCTCCCTTCAGAAAACGCTGTATAATCCCTGTCTTGGGCCTTATTGAGAACTCTCTGTATGAGAACTCCCTGGTGCACAACATCTTGTGTATGCTGCTGCAGCTTCTCAACGCATGCCCTAAGCTGGCTGACATCCTGCTCGACCACGGACTGCTCTACGTGCTCTTTAACACCCTCTCCACCCTCAATGGCATGGAGAACAGGTACGACTGCCAGAACAGAGGATGATTCATTAAGACACCTTCATGGTTCATGGTCTTGAGCTTTTTAACTGTGATTTGAATCATTAATCCTTTCACTGTTCATTGGTCTGGTGGTGCATACTTCCTCTGCTTTGTGTTTTATTGTTTTGGTTGTTCTTCCTTTACAGTATTCCCCTGAATGACTACAAGCTCTTGGTGTGTGACATCCAGCAGCTGTTAGTGGCTGTGACGATCCACTCCTGCAGCTCCTCAGGGTCCCAGTACTTCCGCATCATCGAAGACCTCATTACCTTGTTGGGTTTCATGCAAACCAGCAAGATGCGTCGCACACAGGGTGAGGACTAGTGTTCTGAAATTTAATACATGTGCAAAATGCAAATTACATCAGTTTTGTCATCTTCTTCGCTCTGCAGTTCTGGATGATGTGAAGCTGTCAAGCTCTGCTGCAGAAATTAACAGCGTTGTCTCTTCATTATCTAACTGCAGAGTGGGAGCTCATTTGAGAAAAAATATAATTGAAGAACTATCTCACATCTTCATCTTCCCACTAAATGATTTTCTCTAATTTGTGAACTTGGTCTTTGAAAAATATCTCTCCCATTTCGTCCCCATTAGCTCTTATTTCTTTACAGTTTTCCGATCTGTTATAAACATTCTGTGATCTGTACGTCTTCTGCATGTGGCACCCTTTATTTTTGCTAGTTTGTCATTTTTGTAATTACTGGTGCAGTGTCTGTTCTATACCTGCCTGTTTGGAATGGGCTGTTTGCTTGGCCTGTGGTAATGTTGCAGCTTTCTTTCTAAAACTGTAAAGCTGACCTACAGTAATTGAGTGAAGACCGACTGCAGGACTCAGTCCACAGAACCCAGAAGCTGCACCACAGCTGCTGCACAAAGAGCTGTTCATCTCAGTTGTTGCCGTGAACGCACTGTACTATACTCTCTTTACTGCAAAGTTCACTGTCTCTTGTTTTTTTCCCAGAGATGGCCGTAGCATTGCAGTTCCGCGTCCTTCAGTCTGCCATAGAGTTTATTAAGACGACAGCCAATCAGGAACCTCAGAAGCTGAGCAGCTCAGTTAATTCATCGAGCTCTCCACATCATGCCATCTATCAGAAGCGCAAGAGCATTGCAGGTGAGTGTCTTCACACTGATCCTGCAGTAGAAATACGCTTTGCAGTGTTTGTCTCATCCTGAGTGTCGAGGTCCAAATGACCACCATGTGTTTTTCACTGCTCCGCTCTCACCTGTCTGTTCCTCATCCCGATCTGAAGGTTCCATTGCCATGAAAGACTCCATTATCCCCCGCATCCCCAGACAGCACTACTGCTCCTATGGCCAGATCCCCCTGTCCCCTCCCTTCAGCTTCCTGTCCCAGGACTCCCCCCTCCCCTCCCCCTCAGGAGCTCCATCCTACATGCTCCACTGTGACGCAGGTAGCTGAGACTGCGGTCTGCAGCGGAGAACATCCCCTCTGCCATGGGGCATGTTTCCCAATTTTGCAGTGAACTCACTCTTTTCCACCCCAAACTCACCTTGGTGGAATTAATATGCCCAGTACCCTCGTGTGCTACTGGTGCGTTTGTGTGTGCATGCTTTGAATGCTTAATTAAATCACTGTTAAGCATTTCAGCACAGATGGCATTTTGATCAGTGAATCTTTATAATCTTCCCTGTTTTCAATCATACATGAGACATTTGCACAACTTTACTCTCAACTTGAAAAGAAAAATGAATGTGTGATATTACTAACAAATTGCGTACCATGTTCTTACTGCTGAGCTCATACCAGTGTTGTGCTTGCAGGCCGCCGTCGGTTCTCTCTGGCACAGACTGACTCCCTCCTGATGCGGATGCGCTCAGTAGCCAGCGATGAGCTCAACCAGATGATGCAGAGGAGGATGAGCCAGGAAAACCCAATTCGTGCTAGCGAGACAGAGTTCGTCCAGCGGCTGCAGAGGCTTGTTGTTCTTGCTGTGAACAGACTCATTTACCATGGTGAAAAACTTCTCCCACCTATCTATTCTAATCCTCATTATCTCCTTCACTTAAAATGAGCATAAACTGAACCTGCTGTATAATCCCTGTTCTGTTTGAATGTGTCTCTTATTTCAGATGTGAGTCAGGACTTGTTTGACCTGCTGAATATCCCAGACTCCCCAGACCAACAGCTTTTCACACCAGAGCCAGGTGATCAACCACATGACGAGAGTGGCTCCGCCTCTGTCCCGCACTCTCCTACTCCCTTCATTCTGCCACCGGCCAGCAAGAAGAGCTTTCAGAAAGACGTCCTCAAACTCATGATGGATGGGATCAAAATCAGCCTGGTAGGACACAACTCACAGAGAAGCCTTTTCACATATCAAGGGAAAATTTAATTGTGAGACTGTACATTGGCGATCATGATCTTACAGGGCAGCACAGGTCGGGGAGGAGCCCCACATCAGCAGTGGCAAAGGATCCTGTGGTCGTGTCGGGACACCTTTCGGGTCCAAATTGGCCGCCTGCTGGTGCACACACTCAGCCCCACACTTCCCCTGTGTGACAGGAAGGAGACGCTGGACTTTGTGTTTGATCCTAGACATTTGGATATCCTCAAGGAGAGTCTCAGCCCGGGTCTAGAGGTGAGTGTGAAGGAAATGCATCATTAAATTCCCCTGCAAAGTATTAAACCTAAAAATTATATAATTGTGGTCATTCTTAGACATTTTTATTCATACAGACTAGTTATCCAGTAGTTTTCAAATGCAAAGGCCTTGTTTCTCAAAACAAGCATCTTTACTTTTTCACTCTGCTTCCTCCTCTGAGGCTTTGTTGAAGGTCAGCTACCTGTGTAAGGCTTCTCTCCTGTCCATCACTGTGTGATTTTCTTTAGTCACAAATTAATTTTTAATCTGTCCTTTCCTTTGCCCTCCCCCTCCCTCTGCTTCACTCAGCATGGACCGAAGTTGTCGCTTTATCTGTATGAGATGCTGCACGATCACAAGGACAGCCTCACCAAAGATGAGCAGAATGCCGTGGGTGTGTTCATGACCTCGCTCAAGCTTTGTGGCCATCGTTGCATCCCCCCCAATGCTCCACACAAACAAGACTTGCTCAGGGCCATAAAAGAAGTAAGTCCTAAACTGACCATTGTTAAAGGGTTGTTACATTTTGTCCGTAAATGCAAAGCTCAACCTTTCAGAAAAATATATGCCAACAACTTGGTTTCTTGTGTCTTTATTCACACAGGAAAAAATTAAGTATGAAACCGAAGAGAAAACAAGCAAAGTGGCGTGGGAAAAGAAAATGGCAAACACTCAGAGGAAGTGAGTCTGGGTTTTTTTCTGATGTCAAATTTTGTTAAGAGCAAGAAAATGGTGCAAAGAATCATGTCTTTGTTCTTCTCTTATGTTAACTCTGTTTTTTCTTATTCTTCTGCAGTCTTATTCAGAGGCTTGATGGAAAGTCCAAGGACATTTCCAAGATTGCAGCTGATATCACTCAGAATGTGTCTCTGCGTCAAGGCATGGAGAGGAAGAAAGTCATCCAGCACATCAGGGGACTCTACAAGACGGACCTTAGCGCCAGCCGCCACTGGCAGGAGCTGGTGCAACAACTCACGCATGACCGGTATGCACAGAAATGTCTTTCTCACGTTGGCTAACACAATATCGGAAAAAGCAACAAAGCAATTGCTTCTGTAGTGATGATAATTATACTCCTGCTTATTTCATTTCAATTTTAATGACATTTTAATGGTCAGCAGTTTGGCTGTAGTTTGTTTGAATAAATAATTTGGAATATAATAAAAGATTCACTCAGTCATGCAGAGGACCAGAAAGATGAAGAAGAAGAAAGTAAAATTTATAAGACGATCAAGTCACAAAAACATTTTGATCTACACTTTTATAAATGTACATCCAGAGGTGGGGATGTAGCCGGGTTTTAGATTCTACAGCCACAATAGCAGCCCTGTTAGCTTGTACTAAAACAGAGATTACAGCTAAATGCTAACATACTGACAATAGTAAAATGTTGTTTATGCTATTAATCAGGTATAACAATTTGCATCTTCACCATCTTAGTTTAGCATGTTAATGTTTTCAAATTTCAACATTTTAATCTGCTGGTGGCACAACATGACCAGTTGGACATGATTGTCTGTTCAGATTTCTTCCATATAACACTGAGATATTTTAATTAGACTTGATTGGGCAACCAACATTACCATACATAGAGATATGTTAATTTCCCTTTTATGTTAAAATGCAGCTGCTAAAATAATATTTTGGGGTCATTTTGTCCTCCTACACAATTAGCTAAATACTGTTTCATCAGACGTTTATGTGAAATTCTAAAATATAAACTTCTAAAACATTTCTGAGTACATGAAAACCTTCTAAACTGATATGAGTAGACAAAGTGTTTGAGACAGCTGTAATGGTCTGTTTCAGAGCGGTGTGGTATGACCAGACATCCTACCCAACATCCTGGCAGTTGGATCCCACTGAGGGGCCGAACCGGGAGCGACGACGGCTACAGAGATGCTACCTTACCATCCCCAACAAATATCTTCTCAAAGACAGACGCAAACCTGAAGGTGGATACTCCCTTTCATGGCAAAATTGTGTCTAAGCAACTATGTGTTTGTCTACCTTAATCTGACCTTCATCTTCTTCAGATACTATGAAGCCACCGCTGTCCTTCCTGTTTGAGGATAAGACTCACTCCTCCTTCTCCTCCACTGTCAAAGACAAAGCCACCAGTGAGCCCATCAGGTATAACTTTCTCCCTCTCTGTCTTTAAGCCTTAATTAAACATCATATCCATCTCTGGATGATCCGAAGAAGACACATTAAGAGATGGTCATGTTTTATTCAGATGGTGAATGTCTTGTTTGAGGAATATCTTTTTGTCATTAGATTCACCAGACGGTGCATCAGCGTTGCCCCCTCCAGAGAGACAGCAGGGGAGCTACTTCTGGGTAAGTTACTGACCGCCGCTCGCAGCTGCTCCATGCATAATATACTCAGGAGGTCAAAAAGGCACAGGGAATAATGCACTTTTTCTGAGCCACTTGAGCACAATTCTCTGCCCTCAGTGTTTGTCACTTATTCAGTGTGGGAAGCTTGTGTTTGTCTTCTTCTTAAGACACCAAATCTCAAACACTCTGCGCTGTGTCACAGGAAAATCTGGGATGTACTTTGTGGAGGACAATGCCGCTGATGCTCATGACAACCAGGTAAAGACAGACTTAACTGTGTAGGCTTTTCCTTCTGCCAAAGGGGTGGCACTGTGTTACGTGAAGACTCAAACCTTTGTGTTTGAACAGAGTCTTCACGGGGAGACGGAGGCACCTTCTTTTTCATGGACGTATGAGGAGATCAAAGAGGTGCACAAGCGCTGGTGGCAGCTGAGAGACAACGCGGTGGAGATATTCCTCACTAATGGCAGGACCCTGCTGTTAGCCTTCGACACCACCAAGGTACGTCAAAAACACAAGTCACATGGAATGAAAATATAAGAAAGAAATGCTGAAATGGATGCAAACATAGCTGGTGACGGGGATACAGTAAATCCTTTTGCCTGTTTACTCAAAAAAGTTTTATTTTATTATTGCAAAGAACTGATTCCATTTATTATCAATAACTCTACCCAGCAGATCTCTGCAGGAAAATTAAATCAATGTTTCATTTGAATATGAAAATGAATTCACACAGGATGCACTGTGATAAAAATAACGAGATGAAAGAGCCACTGATGCTCAAAGTAGAAGACATATAAAGAAAAAATGCGGCTTGAAAAAACATTTGCTTTGAGAGATAATTGTTGAATTGCCTTTTTGTTATTCTGTTCCTGATGTCTGTCGAGCTGTAAAGTCTGTGCCAGGAATTAAACACGATGATGATAAGATACGGTGCCATAAAAACTATTATTATTTTGCACAACTTTAATTTAGATACTAAATGGGACACTATGGTAGGACAACTAAGTTTTATACACATCAGGGATTTCCAGCAGGTATTTCCTATGCAGACAATTAACAAGATGATATTTCCATTTTCTGTTTACTTCAGATAATGCTTTGGTTATTTGTCCAAACATTAGTGTGCCCCTCAGGAAGAATTGTAATCAGCATGCCGACTGTTGGGGCATTTGTGCATTTATTTTCTTTGACTTGGTTTGGTTTTAAATGAATAAAACGTTTTTAAGGCACCATGCTTATTATTTCAGTGGTATAAGAAAGACAGAGACGCAGCAGGTTTTATCAATCAGATTACATATGCAAATTAATACTTTTCCAATGTTAAATTCCAGTCTGGCCACTATACTGTTGGAAATAATCTCATGGTTCTCTTTGTTCTTGTGTTAGTTCCGTGACGACGTCTACCACAACATCCTGACCTCTGATCTGCCCAACCTGTTGGAACACGGAAACATCACGGCCCTCACGCAGCTGTGGGGCTCCGGTCAGATCTCTAACTTTGAGTATCTCACACATCTGAACAAGCACGCAGGGCGCTCCTTCAATGACCTCATGCAGTACCCTGTGTTCCCCTTTATCCTGCGAGATTACACCAGTGAGACACTCGACTTGCAGGACCCAAACATCTACAGGTCAGAGCTGTGTTACTGGTTATTATATCCCATGCTTTATGAGTGGAGTGTCTTAAGCATTGTAATACATATTTGTACCTCCTCTGTCTTTAGATGATTAGATATGACTCTGCTGGCAGGTTTTCTCAGAGTTATTGCAACCTATCACAATAATCAGAGCAGACATTGCTAATAGATTTACCTGTGGTGGTGGATTGCATGGCATGTAAGCGATGTGCATATAGGAGACTCATGTAGTTCAGGGGGGAGAGTTTAAATCAAATTATTTCCAGTAGCAACAGCTGACAGATGTTCCCTAAACTGCTCACATGTGGTTGATGCTACAATTCAGTGATGTTTAAAAAAACAGGGTATTGTTAGACGCTAGCTCGGCAGCTGTGCACCGTGAACCCGCCAGTACCCACTTGGTTATTGCAGCGCAGGTGTGTGGCCAGAAAAGTTAGATCATTTGTTAGGTTGGATCTGAGTGATTTTATTTATGTGACGAGGCACTCAAGTAGATCCTTTGTGTGTGTGTGTGTGTGTGTGTGTGTGTGTGTGTGTGTGTGTGTGTG